AAACGGCACTTATCATGGCTGCCACTGAGGGACTTCCGGGTCATTTCACTCGGTCAGGAAGGTTCCTAAGCTAAATGGACTATTCGACTTCAGCCCTGTTTCCCCTCGGGACGTCTCTCGTTACACAATTCAACAATTTTCCTCCAGCTTTCACTGTTTTCACGAGATATCTTTTACACTTTTCTTTCCTCTTCAGCTGCTATGGAGGCCTGGGACGCTCGGGATTAAGTAAGTATATTTCACTCATGGTTTTATTTAGAAAATCAAGATCAAATTGTTCTTTAAATGTTTAAATATAACCGTTTTTTTATTGTGTTTCCAGTCGCCGCCTGCCTGCTGCTGCAGCTCTCTGTAACGATGACTCCTAACAAAGCCATAGAGATCCTGAGGGAGCACCGAGGAGGAGGAGCTATTCAGACGGTGAAGGTGAGACCTCTGAGAATCCTCTCAATCTCAAGCATTTTTAAATAACGACAGTCCACTGTCCGCAGCTTTTGCATGTTATCATTAAACCTGCACAGACTTAGCTTTCAAGCTGAGCATTTTCCAAAAGTGTGATGTCGATTTTACACCTTAAAGGTCACCTCTTATGCAAAATCCACTTCTCATGTCTCCTCTACATAAACATGTGTCCCCTCTTCTTCATGTCTCTTCTACATCAACATGTGTCCCCTCTTCTTCATGTCTCTTCTACATCAGCATGGGTCCCCACTTCTTCATGTCTCCTCTACATAAACATGTGTCCCCTCTTCTTCATGTCTCTTCTACATCAACATGTGTCCCCTCTTCTTCATGTCTCTTCTACATCAACATGTGTCCCCTCTTCTCCATGTCTCTTCTACATCAACATGTGTCCCCTCTTCTTCATGTCTCTTCTATATCAACATGTGTCCCCTCTGTGTAAAGAGACTGAAAGTTTCAGGAACAAAGATTCTCTCTCTTTTTGATCCATTTCTATAAAAACCTGTCTGAAAATGAGCTGATCAGATTTTGGCCACTTTATGATGTCATACGATGTTCTTGTCTTGTGTAACCATTAGCCAATCAGCAACCAAGGTACCCCCCCCCCCTTATCACCTGAATCTCCTCCTAGAGCACCATTGAGTTCTTTGTAACCAAATCTCTCTCAGAGGGGCGTGGGGAGGGGCTCCTTATTTTCATCTAAAGTAACAGACAGAGAATCAGCGTTTTGGAAACAGGGCTGAAACAGAGGGGATTATGGGTAATGCTGCAATGATCTGTTTGGTGTTTGGAGCCAAACACTTCAGAGACATGTTTTGTATATATCTGAGAGCTGTAATATATTGATAAAAAACAGTTTAATAGGGGACCTTTAAGGCTGCGTCTTTTACCCCGTATGTGATAAAAAAAACAACTCAAAATGTGCTCCAGATAGTTGAGTTATGTTCTTCTAATCGGTTTGTTTGCTTTGACTATGTTCATTTTCTTTTGCTTTCATATTTAATGAGCAAACATGTGAACTAACAACGTTCCATCCCATTTTCCCGCAGCAATACAACTTCCTGCATGAGTTTCGGGAAAGGTTCGCAGAGTACCAGCAGAGCAGAGAGGTTTCCACGGAGCGCCGCGCGTCGCGGTGAAAATTAAATATTTATTTCTGCAAACTCTCTCGTGTGTGAGAGATATAAAGGTGTTCTTTGATGATTGCACTTCAACAGAATATGTTGCTTTCATTTTGATCTCATAGAAAGACTAACTGCTGGGTGTTCATAGTGCGTTTGCAACTGTTCTTGTTAAACTGGAGGAGGGTTTTCTGTCTTTATAGAAACGTGTATCCAATCAGCTGCATCTTCTGAATTATTCTCTATATCTGTAACTTTGCAAGCTGGTACTTTACTGCTGCATGTTATTGGCAAGGTGCTATATGCATTGTTTTAATTGTATATCTACTGGCTTCCAGAGGAGAATCCTTAAAATGTTTAAAAAAGGCTTTGAACTCAATTATCATAAGATTAGATGTGTATTGGTAATAAATATCTTTGAAAAATGCTTTTCCTGTTGTTTTTACATCATTATTCTTTTACCTTTTTAAACGGCTTTCAATTATAATAAACGTAACTGCGGTCAAAACATTAACACAAATCAGTAATCATATTTAAAACATTTCCACAGAACCTTGAATCAAATATTAAGATGTAAGTATATTAGAAGTTATTTGTAAATAAAATGTCTTTTAATATAGATACAACTATGCTATTTGTCTTAATTTTCTTTCATTTAAAAAAATATAACTTTTTGGAAAACTCAAAATATTTGGGTTAAAATTCCTCTCCCGTTAATATAGGGTGAACTTGACTTAAAATGATCCCTCACCCTTAGTAGTTGATTTTCTTAAAAGTTGTTCTTAAATTAAATGCTGATTGTCACTCAAATAATTAAAGGGCACCTATCATGCAAAATGCACTTTTTGATGTCTTTTATACATAAATGTGTCCCCGGTGTGTCGGGGAACTCTCGCAGCGTCAGAAAATAAAACCCTCTCTCTTTTCCTCCGTACCCAAATCTCTAAAAATGGGGCTACAACGGAGCTGATCCAGGTTTGCGTCCGATATGACGTAATATCTGAAATGTGGACCCACGGCCCTATCAGAAACATTGCTATCAGAAACAATGCCCGACTGTTTTGGACGTAATATGGTCGGTGTTTACATTAGCATCGCTAACACTCAGAGCTAACCTGTACTGGAGACAGTGGGTGTTTCTCAATGTCGAGTACGCTTGCTTGGTAGCACATGTCTTCCGAGTCACTTCCTTCAGAAGCTAGGCAAGAATCCTTCCTGGCATTCGGAGAACGAAGAATGGAACAGGCTAGCAAGTGTGCAGGTGTGCGTCATATGAGAGGCCCGACCTTACATTTTCCGCCACAGATTTTGGAAATTGGTCCGTGTGCAAAGCATTGTGGGGATTTTAAGACCGTGGCGGATACACATGTGCAGCTTCGAAATTTCTCACTATGAAGGACGCCGGGCTCGGTAGAATTCCAAGGAGCCTGGACATCGGAACAGTCCTTCGGCGGCACTCGATTACGTAGCATCCTTGAAAGAGTGGCTCTGGAGCATCCTTCCTTGACATTGAGAAACACCCAGCAGGTGTGTGAAGAAGCAGGAAAATCCATGATATGGTGTTTCATCACGGCAGTATCTGTCGCATGAGCAGGCATAAGCTCCGCCCCTCTTTTTTTATCGCTCTATACCCAGAATCAGCACTTTTGAAACAGGAAGTGAAATAGAGGGATATGAGGCATGGCTAGAATGGTTGATCTGTTGGGTATTTTGAGCAAAACACTTCATAGACATGTTTTTTATATATCTGAGACCTATGCTATTGCCTAAAAATAGCATGATAGGTGCACTTTAAATCTAACATGCAACAAGCTGTAGGAGCCATGTACTAATTTCCCTTTAAAAAAATATAATTTGAGTCCAGAAAACAGAGTGGGATAGTTTTTTTATTAGATTCAAATAAACTCAAGTTGTCATTTTCTAGATGTGACATGAATGAATACATAAAAAATGTCAG